CAGAAATGAAATGTATGGCAATAGTCAGTGAAAATCAACTGGTCATATAAGCAGGTCTGTGATTATGGTGAGGCAAAATGAGATGAAGTAGTCTCTAAAAAGCAAGCCTAGTGCAGACCTACTCGAAAAACCATAATTACTCAGAAGACAGTTAAAACACAAAATTTCCTCCAGGGTAAAAGGCATTCAATTAATCCAATCAAAAGATCAGTTTTTTTTCTCTCTCCTGATATTTCCCATCCATACATTAAAAAAAAAAAAAAAAAGAAAAGAAAATTATGCTGTGGTCTCCAAAGTTACTAGAGATACAAATTAAGTTTAATTTTGCTGTAATTATTTACACACGCTTGGAAAAAACTTTACATGTAATTTTTATACTGTAAAATGCCAAATCTTTCTATAAACAGAAACTTTAAACTTTTTTTTAAAAAAAAATTATCTGCTAATCAGTTTATCCCTTATGTGTTTGTGGTCACATAAATAAATAAATAAACTCAGCCTTATAGTTTAGGAAAAATTAATCCCCAAATTTAGTAAATTCACAGGGTGAAAAACAGCAGATGTTGACCTGAATACTGTACTGCATAAACCATAGTTTCTGTAGTATCTTCCTCTCCACCTCCAATCTTCTAGAAAAGTTTTTGATGACAAAAATATAAAATTACTTTGTAGGAGAGTTTGAGGTAGAAGGTGAGAGGAAAAAAAAATCTCAGATTTTTTTACATTTAAGGAACCAAAAATTACCTAGTTCTAGTACTGCCCCAACCACTGCTTTCAGAAGATTGTACAAAACAGCAAATGAATGACTATGATTCGAAATTCAGAATAATGCAGCAGATCTTTCTAGGACAGCGAGTTATCACTGTCATCTTCTCGCACCTGACAAGGTATAGAAAGTGTACTGTGAAGAACCATATGCTATTGCTGGATGGCCTTTAGGGGAGTTTGTTTTTGCTCCACACAGGTTGTAGCTTTAGAAGTTTAAAAGCAAGGACAAACTATTGTGAAGAGATTGGTTTGATCTTTACCAATTCACAGCTCAAGGAGGAGAACTGATAAGATGAGCTGCTTTCACTTTTATCAGTCTCCTCCTTGGATGGGGACTTTTCTAAGAGAAAGGATCACCCATGTCTTACTCTTGTATCCCCAATGCCCGGCATAAGAAGGAACCCAAAACATGCTGGATGAGTTGAACCCACAAAAAGCATGCACAGAGTTCTCTAGTAACCATTGAAACTCCTCAGAGGCTACTTTTTCTAACTGATGAAACTGCAAAAATACTGTGTTTTGTTTTGTCAGGAAACTACATCTAGTTATTTATCCTGCCACTCTGGGTTTTTTAAGACCACCTCCATGGACTAAATATGTGTAGGCAAAGGCATTAGACCTTAAAGAGGCACACAGAAAATTGGTGCAGAACTCCAGATTGACGAAATCAGGTTTGTTTTTTTACCCATTAAATAGTTTAAGCAGATTAATTGGAACCAGGCATGTGAAGATTCATAAGGTTTGCTTTTTAGTAACATCAATTACTTGAATCTTATGAGTTATATTTCAACATATTCAGATTAGCAGTTTAAAGAAAATATAGTTCGTGATAAATTATTTTTTAAATTTTTATGGAGGCAAAAATAAGACTTGTTACATTTTTATAATAGATTTATCTCACAGTAACAAGGTATTTAGTTTCCAATGCCTTGTATACCTAATGTCAATTACCCACTTCACAATGGATATGTTTTATTTGGAAATTAAATACATTAAAAACAGAAATTTGTTTTCCTGCATCAACAAAAAGAATGTTTGATATATTCTGAAGTATTATTTAATGGCCATATCTTCAATCATAGTATGTAATTAAAGAGCAATAAAAGCAGTCTGTCTAGGGAAGAATGTGATCATTTGTTTTTGGGAAAATACGAATAAAAGGAAACTTTTTGAACTTGAAGAATGCTGATTTGCAGTAGTGAATGTCAGCAGCTTACTTACCCAAGTGTTAAGGTTGATATTTCTTGTCCTATAACTAAAATATTGGAAAATCATATTTTTAAAGCTTTGGACAAATTGGGTGTAAACAAAATAGATCCTTGTATCAAGCAAAGTGCTGCACTTTAAAAAAGGATATTTGAACACATACTGTCAATATTTACATTTTCAAGACAATTACAGCCTTCTAGATAATCCACTGTTACTGAAAAATACTTAGCCAGCAAATAATATATGATATGCTTGAAATGTCATAAATAGCTCTGCTTTAAAGGAGACAGAAAGGAGTGACACTTACTGTACTAACATTGGATAACAGTGGAAAGCCTTTCTGAGTGACTACAAGATTAAAAAATTACTTTTTTACATAGGCTCCACAATTATTTTACATTTAATACACAATACAACCATGTTTCAATGCTATTCTACATCATTTTTCAAATTAGTTATTATACTCATAGAATCATGTCAAAATTATAAATTCCTATGTCTAATATTTATAATTAAGAAATCACCTTACAAGGCTATTCTACATCAGTATTTTTCAAATTAGCTATTACACTCATAGAGTCATGTCAAAACTATAAAGTCCTATGTTTAGTATTTATAATTAAGAAATCATCAGAACTATACCCTAGCTCCCAAGATCCAGGCCAAAAATTCCATGTGTGTATATATGCAGAGCAGTTGTTTATTTGGGTGATTATTTGATTCTAATTTAATGGTTCTGTTTCCAAATATTTTTCTTTTTCAACATCTTTACTATTTTAATATTGTTCTTCCCACACAACACTTAGCTCAACTGCTGGTGACCTGGGCCAATGTGTTTCTGATGTCTGTCAACAAGTACAAAAGCGTAATTTCATTAAAGTGTATTATATATGCTCAGGACCCAGAGAACATTACAAGATGAAGAAGTTTGGCGAAAGTTCAACTGGGCATCAAATAGCACTGGCAGGAATTTTCTTAAACAGATGGTGTAAAATCTTACTAACACAATAGTGCGTGCTCAACACAGGAAGACGATCAGAAACAGATGTGTGAGCTCCAGATGACCACAGTACCAAACAGAAACAATAAACATAGGATGTACATTAGAAATGATGCCCTGGAAGGGAAAGAGAAAAAAAGAGGAGAAAAAGAAATGCTGAACAAACGCATGTCCTTGTCAAATAAGAAATGCTACTGATTTTTTTTTTTCCAGGCTAAAGTCATAGCCTGGAAAAGCATAGACATATTTCCCTTTAGCTTCCCCTTATGAATTTGGTATATAATCTTTATCAAGGTAGTGAGAATTAAAAAGGTAATGTTAATCCATGTTTTAAAAACTAATCACATCCAAGGGAAATAAGTCTTTGATTTAATATAAGAATTTCAGGGAACCTAGAATCGTTTAAGATGGAAATATCTCATCAGCCCAAAAGAATATGGGTGTGCATGCATACACACACACACACACACACACACACACACACACACACACCATTCCTTTTAGACTAACTTGATGCACGTGTTAATCGTTGCATGGCTTCACCCAAGCATTGCACAACTGTATCACAAGTACCAAAGTGGCACATAGCTAAGGCCCAGCCAGGCCCTCCGGGAGGCCTAGTTTCTCAGTGACAGCCAAACCCAAAGCCCTCCGAGGATCCTCGCGCAGGACAGGGAGCCACCTGCTTGAGACACCACGCGCAGGACCGGATTCGAGGCGCAGCGGTGTGTCTCTGCCCCCGCTGTCCGCGGCAGGGGACAGCCCGGCCCGTCGCTCCATCCCGGTCTGATCGGACCTCGCGCGCCGTGGGTGTGGGGCCCCGGCTGTCCGCGGGGCACGGGCTGCGAGGTCTGAGCAGGAGCACCTACCTAGGAGGGCAAAGGCCACGCGGGGACGGGACCAGGGCCTCCACTGTCCTCAGTCACGGAGCACCACACGGAGCACCCTCTGCAAACCAGATCTGGCTCGGGAGAACAATGTTTGTCTCTGAAATCCAGGCCTCCGCGCTTAGGGCACCCCGGAAAGCGGCGCAGGAAGGAGGGGTCAGAGCCAGCCTGCAGGCCAGGCCAGGCTAGGCGCTGGCCTCAGAGCCAGGATCGCGTCCAGAGTTGGGGTCAGGGGTGACCGGGCATCCGCAGTCCCCGACTCAGCCTGGGGATGGGAGTGTCCCTTGGTGTTGGCCCTGGTCCCCTTGGTGTCCCTGGGCCCTGGGGAGTGCCTGCAGCCTCAGGCGGGGACAACCGGGGAAACGCTACAGGGTCTATGGCCTCAGAGGTGATAACGTGCTCCTCCCGCAGGAGACTCATCTCCATCACTCCCTTCCTTCCCTGGCATCTGCCCTCCCTCCAGCAGGTCCGTGCTCCTCCACACCTGCATCCCAGCTTCCCCACAGCCCGAAGCCACCCCTACATCGCCTAAGAGAATCCTGGGCAGCGCAGTGAAGCTCTCGAAATGAGACCACCTGTGGTTTCTGCCGCTAACTTGCTGTAGGAATTTGAGCCGCCTCTCTGGATTTCAGTTCTCCATCTGTAGAGTGGGCATAGTAATTTCCACCTTCTGCTGGTGAGGCACATGGGGGATAGGTGGGTAATGCCAAATGCAAGGTTTGAAGATGACAGTTTACTTTTCAGTAGCATCATCATTGAGGCATTGAATGTGACCTTAGAGGGTATCACTTCCTTTCTTTTTCTCCAATAGTGGGGATTGAACCTAGGGAGTAGGCGAGCGCTCAGCTATAATCAACCCCAGTATTTTTTTTTTTTTAATTTCTGTTTTAAAAATTTTGAGACCAGAACTCACCAAGTCGCCCAGGCTGGCCTTGAACTTGTCACCCTCCTGCAGTCGCACGGATTGTGGGGGGTTCCACTGTGGCAGGTAAAAGGAAATTTAGGAGCTATCCTCTCCACATGGATGTGTGTGTGTGTGTGTGTGTGTGTGTGTGTGTGTGTGTAAATAATCAGGAATTATGGATTTATTTACTGGAGTATTTTCTCCATCCTGACCTTTAAATGACAGAGCCACATGGTTTGATTCTGATTTATTTATGAAAGATTTTTTTCCTTTCACTAAACTCATCAAATTACTGACTCACCACAGAAGTACTCTAAAGAAGCGAAAGAGAAAGAAATATAGTGACGGTTATTATAGATTAAAGTTATATGTTTATTTTTTTAAGGAAATCTTCAGGAGAAACTGCTGCTTATTATTTCTCACAGCGTCAAGACTCCAAAGCAATAATGAAGGCAAACTCTAGAACACCGAGGCTGGTCAAGGGATTCTTTACCAATCATGTTACAAGGCAAAGATGCAGTTTTGAAAAATTGCCAGCTGGACTCCCTCCTGAAACAGCGTGCTTTGATTTGAGCAAAATGAGTGGGATTAATCATTCCTAAAAATGATTTCTTGCCATGTTTGGAAGCTTGCAGCAGCTACACCAAGTTTGGAACTCGCTGTACTGTAGAGAAACCCACGTCTTCATGATATAGTCCAGTTGCTCTCCCCTCAGTGCTGGGTAACACAGCTCAGCCAGGGCTGCTGTCATCATTCTGGGTTGCAAAGACTCTTCTAGGACCTCGGAATCTGAGGTGTCTAGTAGCTCTGCAGCCTGCCAGTCCCGGAAAAGACCTGCTCAGGCTGGAGAGTGGCTGGGTCCAGGGAGAGACTCATCTTCCCTCTAGGGCATCTCTTTTCAGTTCTCACTTCCTGTTGTGGGCTGGAGGGCGTAGCCTCTTTCCAGGTTGAGGAGGACCCTGGGCAGCAGGGCCAATGGCCTTGACATCCACTCAGACTGGTCACTCTTTTGTCTTCCTACTTAGGAGCAAAGCCAAGCCTGTGGTCACCTGACAGCATGCCCAGCAGGGTAGATTGAAGAGTCTTACCCTATCCTTTACCTTCTTTTTAAACAGAGGCTCAGATTCAAATGATTTCTGAGGCAACCAGAATAGTTTTGCAATTTAATTTTGAACACTGAGGTCCAAAGTACTCACAGGAGTACCCAAGGAGCCATGACACTGGTCGACACACTGGGTACCATAAGCCCTTCATCCCAGATGAAAAGTGAATCCTGGAACTGCCTCAATTATTTGGTTAGAATTTCTACCTCATCCTTGCTGGAGGACCTTTAGATCTTAAAAGATGCAAGTCCTGGAATGGAAATAGGAAACAACCCTAGAAGAAAGAAAGGAGAGAAAGGTATAAACCCTCCTGTGACTGTGAGCATACCTCTCTCCTTCCAGAAGCAGTTATTGTCCAGCCTTGAACACCAAACTAGGTTTCAGAAAACTGGAACAGCACAAGGCTCCTGCTTTAGGTCTTTGAGGTCCATAGCTGGAGGAAGATTTGTTGAGGTCAGCTTTGTTCACCTGTTGGTGGCAAGAAAACTGTTTCTAAAGACTTGTCCTCAGCAGTGTTAGATGGTGACATTTGGTGACCTGTGCAGCAGTCTCCACAGCTACAGAGTTATAGTTTAGATTTAGGGCAAAGAAAGTCCCAGAAGTGAGCACAGGCATTTGGCCCTCTGTGGATACGGAAATCCAGACATTGCTTGTTCAGTATGTGTTTTCATCCACTGGCTGACAATTAGACTGCAGATTTCACAATCTACAAGGAAAAGGAGAGAGAAAGGTTTTCACCACCAGTATGCATGAGCTCCCCTCTCTTTTGTGGCTGTTTTATTTGATCCCATAAACCACTCTCTGCAATTTAACTTTGGCCAGCAATAGTGGAGGTGGAAAGGGATTGTTGCTCTGCTCCCCCATCAGACACTGGGCAGCTGCTAGCAGCCTGCAAGTGGCCAGAAGTTGCCAGAGACCCTCGAGCCGAGTCACAGCCCACCTTAGTGTCTGTTCCTGAACTCACAGAGGAGAGCAAAGCACTTAAATCCTGCCTAGGAGTAAAATTCCTGACAGGGCCTGGTAAAGCATGGCCTTGGCCAAGTAGAACTAGAGTTATGTGCCATAGTGTTGGGGGAGGCATTTGACAACAGGGAGCAGCTCATGCTATTCAAAAGGCTGCACGCCCCAAAAGAAGTCCAGGTGCCAAGCATATAAACAGGCCAGTTTAGTGTCTCAGTAAGCCAGCAATAAAGGAGCGAGGGGAGAGGGGCTGAAAAATCATAGGAAAAGTGGCTCCCAGCTGAACACTCCTCTGGAGCTCTGACGTTCTGAGAGGCCCAGCACTGACCTGCTTTTTGCCTAAGGAATGAGACCTTTGGTGACTCTATATCCAGACTTCTCTAGTGAGGCCTAGGAGTCGAGGGAGGAAAGGAAGAAAACCGCATTGACTCAGAACCTACTCTACCTGTGTAGAGCTTAGGGGAGCATCATTTTCATTTATAATGACAACTCCCAAATGGTGTTGGCTCCATTTTACAGATGAGCAACTGAGAGGTGAAGAAGTCCAATTCCTCAGAATTTCAATCACAGGTTTATCAACTTTACACCTTGTGTTGTAATAGAAAGAAGTAACACATGACTTAACTCTGAAAACCCTAGAATTCCCACAAAGGAAGGAAATACAGGCAAGCAGGCCAGAGGAAACAGAGGAAGGGAGAAGGGTCAGGAGGGAGAAAAATACAGCTACAATTATGAGACGCAGTGTCCTGGGGCAGAAAGCCATATAAAAATGATTTTTAACTTTAAAAAATGGTAGCTGAAGATTTTACCACAGACTTTTGTTTTGTTCTACTTTGTTTTGTTTTGTCTTTTGGTAAAAGTATAGTTTTACAAGACGCATCAGGCAAACAAGGTGAAAACCTGCAAGGTTTGCCTGGGTAAGCTGTAGGACACCAATACTGTGGGCAGGATGTTCTGGCAGGGTTTATTCTGGGCTACTCACTCAGGTTGACAAGTAGAGCTTCGGGGTCCCCTGACCCAGACCCTACAGAAGGCTGAAAAGATACCCTACACCCACACCCCAAACAGAGAAACTCCTTGAGCTCTCCTTTTGCATTTGGGTCAAGTTTAATTCTACTTTCATTTGGCTTTCAAAGATTCCCGAGGAAGGAGCAGTGCAGGCTGGGGGACAGGGGAGCAGAAGCCTGCCGGATAGACAGGGTTTCTAACCTCCTAGATTAGTGAGCTCAGGGGTGTAGCTGGAACCATTGTGCCTAGAACCAGTCGGGAAAACCAGGATACGAGGTTGTTGAAGCTGGAACTTTCCCCCTTTGCCCTTCACACAGGACTCCGGTTTCTACAGAGCTGCAAGAGCAGAACTCTGAAGGAACGATAGAATCAAGTTTCCACTGGTCCTGGTTTGTTGCTCATTGTAAAGGACAAAGTGCGTATAAAACCGGCAGCTCCAAACCACAGACGTGCTTAAAGCGAGATTTCGGACTTGGAAATGTCACAAGGAGTAAACGGTCTGCCGCATGTTCGCGCTCTCCTAGTATTTAGCCCAGAGTGCCCCAGGCCGCCTCCTCTTCTAATCTCAGGCTCCACGTGGCTCCTAAATTTATTTCTCTCCTCATTTCTCTTATTAGGCAGATAGCACCGCTCTTCGCTGGGGAGTTTACTGCGCTCTGGGTCCAGCGCAGGTTCAGAGCTAAATTCTAGGTGCAGAACCTACTTCCGTGGCTGGGGCTCCAGCATCTGGGTGCGCTTTTGACTTGACTTAAAGAGAAGGGCGCTTCTGCAGAGCCACGTGGAGGAGGCCGGGCCTGCGCCCCTGTGTCTCCGAGTGTCCCACGTTTAGCAAGCCTGATAGCGCAACGCCCACCAGGCTTCAGAAAAGTGATTCCCTTTACCGCAGAAACTGGGTGAGGTGATCTAAAAAGGAGACTGGGACCCCGGAAATCCCAAGGCAAAGTTTCCATCTTGGAGACCTCCCAGAAGTGACGCCCTTCGGAACTGCACAAGTTTGTGGGAACAACCTCTAGAAGTTGTCTGCTTCGCTCTCTTCCCAGACTATTAGCAATAGCCAAGGTGGGCAAAAATCCAAGGACATCCCTTGACACCCGCAGTTTCCCAGCAGTCTTGCTGGAGATTTCCCCTCTGGGGCTCCAAGGAATTACCACTAGCCGCACCCACAGGCGGCTCCTTCCCGCAGGCGCCTTTGACAGTACTGGGCTGCGGGGCTCTGGTGCGGTGGCAGAAGGTGGCCTACCAGGGTTGCAGGCTGGGCCTCGAATGTGCTGGTCCTGCGACAGTGGACCCAAGAGTCCTGGTTGCAGAGCGCAATGCAACCGGGCTTCTCCCCGGCCGCCGCCGCGCTTTTCCGAGTCTCCACGGGTGAGCTGGGAGCCAGAGAGGACAGCGATTCAGGGAAACCAGACTGGAGTTTGCCCCAAAGCCTCACAGCCTTTAGGTTAAGTTCCTGCAAACGTGTGGTTACTCACTGCGAGGAGCTCAGAGGCAAAGGGCTCCATAGTGAAGTTGGCGGGGACTTTCTCTATTTAAAGTAATAATTTACTAATTCGGATCTATTGCTTTTAAATATCGAGTTCCAGGGACCTCTGTCAATGCAGGCTTAATTTCATCCCACTGATGAAGGATGTTTATAAACGGCGCCTGCGGTGCGAGCCGAGTGTGAAAATATCAGTTTTATGCCTTTTGATAAGAATTACCGAGGTGGAAGCCTTATTAGACGATTACAAATTTCGCAGCTGCTTGCTGCCCAATTAGGCAGCTCTGCGCGGTGAGTGGAAGCTGCGGGGGTCGGGGTGGATTGGTGCCCTCTCTCTCCAGCCCGGACCTCCAATCACGGCCTGGCTTTACGGGGATCCGGATCCCGTCCCTGCCCCTTGGATTTTAGGGACCCTATTCCAGGCAGACCGGCTCTGGAGCGCACAGCCTGGACAGGACCTCCTTGAAGTCTCCTAGCTGCCTTTTCCCCACCTTCGCCCCTCCCTTGAAAAGACCTCTGTGTGGTCCAGGGGTGTTAGTAATCCCCCTGGGTGGGCCTTCGGCCTCTGATTTTCATTTGCGAAGAGCTGGGCAACTAGTAATTTCAATTTAGTAGGTAGACGCCAACATCATGCGGGCAGTCACTTCCCACCTTCAGACGCACAAGGTGAGGCTTGGGGGGCGTCTTCCTCCGCTCAAAATTGGTCTGTATTGGAGCTCGAGCTAAAATCCCTCATTACTATGATGGGAGGGGGGCGGGAGGAAGTCCTTATTTTTAGCCCGAGGACCTCGGGCTCGCTCTGAGGAGTAGCAGGCAAACTTTTCCTGGTCTTGCGTCCGGAGGAGCGTAGGTTGGAGACGCCCGGTTACATCCCCCCCCCCCCCGACAGCTGCACCTCCCCAGTCTCCGCGCTCCCAAGGGGTCAGGAGGTCGTTGGGCTCTGGCGCCCAGCCTGGACAAGTATCTAGTCATGCCCCTCTGCCCACCTCCACACACAGTTCAGGATTCAGAAATAGACTCACCACCCAGAGGCCTACGGAGCATGTGGGGTGGCGCAATTCACCGAGAGAGCGGTCAGGTCCGTTCCGGGCTCCGCGCCTGGAGAGCAGAGGCCATTCTGCTGGGTCTTCCGCGTCTGTGTGAGGACCGTCCTTCTTCCCCAAATCCAGAGGCCTCTAAAAATGAATCATTTCCTCCACTTATGCAGAGGCAGGAGCTCTTAGATCAAGATTAGTATTTTCAAAACCCGATTGAGAGCCCTCTGATTAGGCGAGGGTGGGTGGAAAGACCGCATAAAACGCCAGCGCCCCCCGCCCTACTTCCCCAAAACAGCTCGCACGCTCTCGGCGTCTGCAAATGACCCGCTCAAATCATGGTCGATATCACTCAAATAGCACTCCAGAGCCACTTTGCAAACGTTCACACAAAGAAACTGTAATTAAATCTCCAAATGGGATCTCTTTTTAATTTCACTTTCAACGGAGTCCTGCGCTAGACGCGGCTCCGAAGGCGCCAATGTTGTGCAAGATTCTTCCTCTTCGGAATGGGCATTCTGGGAACAGTGCTGCTTCACGGAAAACGCGCGTGGAACCCCCGCACGGATGTTCACACTTGATGAAAAACACGAGTCTTTTGGGCCCTCGCGCACAAATTAGCTTTGCCGAAAGTCCACCCACCCCATCCCAAATCCCCAAGACCCAGGATAATCACAGCGTCTCCCTCTCTCCCCTTGAGATGTTCCGTGTAGGACTAGACCTCTGTGGTTCTTGTTGACTTGTGCCCAGTTGCTTGGAAAGGCAAACCAGGCCAATATGAAAAGGCTCCTGCTTAGGGGACAGAAATAGGATTGAGGAAAAGCTAATGTGCAGTCTCGCGTGGGCTCCAAAGTGTCACCCAGGCTCTCTTCATCGCAGCAAAGTGTCTCCTTGGCCAGCCTGCTGTAGCCTGGCCTTGATCTCTCTCATCTCCTTCTAGACGAAACAACGGAATAATCCTATGTGTGCAGATACTTTTAAAATACAGATTTCTGTCTACTGGAAGCAACATCGCACGTTTTTGTTAGAGACTTCCAGACATTTTTATGGTGCTGAAGACTTTTGTTTCTTAGGAGAGGTACACTGGAACTAATACATGATTTTAAAAACCAAATTCGTCTTCCTACACTAAATAATGAAGTAAAAGCTAGCTCAGAAAGAAGCTACTCAAACAGACACGTCCTCCAATCCTAATCAAAATTACAGCATCTGCACTCCCCCACCCCACCCCCGCGAGCGCGCCAGTTTGAAGCAGCAGCTGCTAGTTTGCAGGGCTTAAATTTTGTCCGGGATGAGATGAAAAGAATCATACTCGTCAGCAACATACTTTTGCCTTTCTGGTAGACTTGATTTCAAATGTAGTCGCACATCCTAAGTCCTTTTTTTTTTTTTTTTTTTTTTTTTTTTTTTTTTTTTTTTTTCCCGGAGCCGCTCAGATGCTCCTTTTTTCTCGTAATGAGACAACTTTTCGCACAAGGAGCGCGAGCCGCTAGACAAGTCCGCTCCCGGGGCGGCCAGCGCGCGCTTGCCTGCGTTTCTACACTCTTTGGAGAGATGCGCGATTCCAGAGAACGGCTAAACCATTCCAGCACCGCCGCCGCCGGAGACCTCCAGCTCGCTCTCGGCTCTCCGCGGAAAGAGCTGTAACTGTAACCTGAATCTTTGTTTAGGTTTTGGTTGGGGAGCGAGAATTTAAAAGCCAAGGCAAATGCAGAGAGCAGTTTTTTTTTTTTTTTTAAATCAAATTAACAGGCCATCCCAAGATTGTTTTTTTTTTTTTTTCTTCCTTTTTCTCCCCTTTAATACCGAAGCTGGAGTAAGCTGGCTTGCCCTGATAAAGATCTGAACATGTAGAGAAGGCGGGTTTTCTTTAAGGAGGTGAGGCGATTCTTGCAAGGAAACTTTTCCCACACACCCCTCCCTCTGTGGAAGGTTCCACCCTCTGGAAAACAAAACTTTTTTTTTTTTTTTCCCCTTTTCCTGGAGGGACAGATCTCAGTGAAGTTGGGAAAGGAGTTTTAAGAACAGACGGTCAGAGGGTGGTGACGGCTGCTGTGGCCTCTCCGGACCCAGACCTGCTTGTGCTTCTCCTGTCTTTCGCCTTAGCTTTTATTAGCGCTTTGGGGCGGGGAGGGGTCGATCCGCAACGCACGGCAGCCTGCGCCCCGCCGGAGCTGGAATGTGACAAGCAGCTCCAGCAGTGCCATGTATTGGAAGAGCGACCCGATGTTTGTGTGTAAACTAGAAGCAAAGGACGTGCCGGGGCTGGCCGTTCCTCCCGAGAAGGTGAGCGAGCCGACGCCTGGCCAGATCAGTTGAATCGCAAGTTTTCCTTGAATCGCGAGTTCTTTGGGTTCCTAAACGAGGTTCACAAACTACCTGTAACGGCCTCGTCCTCAGACCCGGCAATTTTTTTTTTTTTATTACGTAGTAGCGTTAGTCAGTAATCACTGCTCCCCCTCCCCACAAGCTCACTTAACCTGAGGCATGGAGACTGTAATTTGGGAGAAGAAGCCTCGAGCCTAAGGCGCTCTCAGGTCCATGTGAGTCTTGCTTTTGTTCTATTTGCCGCGGTGGTGGTGGCGGTGCCGATCGCGGCGGCGATCCTGGGAATCCGGGGACAGCTGGTGCGGGACTGGGCGGCTGGCAGGGGGACTCCGCAGGTCGCGGGCTCCTGCGCGCGCGGAGACGCAAGGACTTCGGATGCGGGCGACCGGTGCACCGCAGACCCAAGGCGGATCTGAGGGTGGGGGGGATGCCCGGCGGGCCCGGAGAACCATTTTATTTAAAATAACAAAAGCAAACCCAGGGCGCAAAAGGAGTCCAAAGGTGGGTCTGAGTCGCTTGGGGGACCTGGACGGTTCTCACCTCTGGAGGCGACACCCGTAGGTGTAGCGCTAAATTTGGAAGTGGACTGCAGCCTGTTTGAGGCTCCGCCGGATGCGTACCGGCGCCGCAGGCTTCTCCTGGCCTGGCCAGGCTTTTCCGCCTGGACTGTGCGCGCGTGAGCGCAGTGCGCTGGGTCCCTCGTGGGGAGCGGACCCCGATAGGGTCCGGGGACGCCCTGGTTTCCGAGCCATCTCACCCGGCACCTCCAGGACGAGGAGAAGGCGGAGCTGAGGAGTCAGCAATACAGAGGTGCGGCCTCTACAGTTCGTTGACCCAGCAGCCCCCAAGCTGGAGTTTTCCTAAACTAAGATAGTGAAAGCCCGGGAGCCCGGGGAGGCTGCGTTTTCTTTTAGGAACAAAACTCCAGCAAAAGCTAGAAAACACTTGAGCAACGCGCGTTGTTGCTTTAAAACATTATGACCAAGGTTGGGTCAGGGTGGTTTTTTTTTTTTCTAATGGCATAAATTAAATTCAGCTGGATATTTTCCACCATTATTCGACCTGCTTTTTGCATTGGTTAAAATAATCCTTTAGAAGCTCAAATGCTGACTTACTGAGCAATAAGTGGCAATTTACACCTTCAAGAAAAAACGAGTGTAAATCACTCAGGGCTCTAATTGCCGTAAGTTTACGAAAGAGCGGCTGGCTGGGTTTAATCTGAAGCATTTTCATTCAAATGGTCCTACGAACAAACACCAGGCTCCTTAAATCCCGCTGTAATTAGCTTTCAAGTATCCTATTAAACCTCTTCACCTTTCGGGTTATCCTATTCAAAAAGCCCCCCTTTTAAAAATATATGTGTGTCTTGCTCTTTTAATTGACGTTATGAAAGAAATCGCGTTTCTCCCCCACCCCCTCCGCAGCCGGCTTTTCTTTCTCCCACTCCACGCCCCCCGCCCCGCACCCCCATCAGCCGGTGTTCCCCGCTCCGCCGTGATTGACGTCTGGCGAGCGCACGCTTTGTGCCGGGACGATTGTTATTAAGCGGTCACCCCCGCGGGGGGCCGTCGCCGCGCCCCGCGAGCCCGAGCGGCCGGATGGCCGGGAGGCTGCGCCCCGCGCCCAGCGCCCCACGCCCGGCGCTTCATTAGCGCGGCCCGCGGCTCGGCCCGGCCTCGTGCGCCCGGCCGGCGCGCGCGCGCTCGCAACTTCTCAGCGGCTGCGCCCGGCTTCTCCGCCCCGCAGTGCCCGAGGCTGATGTCGGAGGAGTGCGGGCGGCCTGCAGCCCTGGCGGCCGGGAGGACTCGCAAAGGCGCCGGGGAGGAAGCACTGGTGAGTGGGGAGGCGGCGGGGACCCCGGCCCGGCTGGTCCTCCGGGAGCTGCGGGGGCAGGGTGGGAAGCCGCGCTGGCTCCCGAGGTCCTGGGGGTCGGGGGTCGGGTCGGCGCGCGTCGGTGGCGGGAGCTTAGACTTGGGGCGGGGGGGGGCGGGGAGGAGGGAGGGTAAGCAGGGGGCGTCGGGGCACCCGGGCGGGAGCGGCGTGCAGGGGGAGGAGGGGTCTAGCACCGCCTGCGCTCGGTCGCTTCCCGCAGGTGAGCCCCGAGGGAGCGGGAGACGAGGACTCGAGCTCCTCCTCGGCCCCGCTGTCCCCGTCGTCCTCGCCGCAGTCCATGGCCTCGGGCTCCGGCTGTCCGCCTGGCAAGTGTGTATGCAGCAGCTGCGGCCTGGAGATCGTGGACAAATACCTGCTCAAGGTAGGGCGGGCAGGGTCGATGGGGCAGCTGGGGGAGAGAGACGAGTTCTTCCTTCGTCCACCCAGCTGGTCCTTGGTGGCTGTACACTTTCTGGGCAGATCAGCCCTGTCTAGGGCAACTCACGCGGTGGGGTTATCATTGCAAAAACGCTATGAGTGACACAACCTGGTGTAGAAATGTGTATCCGGGTGTATGCGCTGGAATCGCCCCTGAAGGTGGAATGGAAGTGAGGAAGCCCATTTTTAAAAATCTTTTCCCGGACTAACTGGTTCGCCCCTTACTCTTACAAGATATCTGTAGTGAAAGTCTCACTAAAGTGTCTTCAAAGGTCTTTGCTGAGACTACTTTAAAAATAAGTTTTATTTTTAAAATCCCACGAAGTGTTCCAAAGTAAAAGGAAAAGTTCACAGAAATATTTACATATTCAGTGCCTCAAATCCACCCAATTTTCAGCGCTTAGGAAAAAAGTGGAAATTGATGTAAAGCTAAACACAGGCACACAAGAGCCTTAGATGAAGTGTTTCAAGTGGTGGTTGGAGAGTTGACTGTCTGTATTAATTTATTTTATTTTCCTCTTAAAATAGTGTGGGGGAATTGTGGAGTAGAGATTCTGGCAGGCCACAGTTAGCCAAGTCGTAGCAAGCAGGATCATAGTCCCTGGTGTCTTAATCCTAATACACTGGCTTTTCAACTTCAATAGTTTTTAAAAACCACTGTGTAAAATAATGACTTCTTCTGTACCAAAGTAGTTGCAAACTAGTTCACTTTCTCTTCCCACCCACCACGCTGAAGTTTTCAAAAGGATTAATTATGGAGGGTATAAGTTCAAAAAGTGATTTAGTGGGTTTAAATTTCTACATCAGCATACAAATTGCTTTGTCTAAAAATACGAATTACTCAGATACAGCAACAAGAGGAGTTTGGTGAGAACTTTTAAAAATGACTGAATCATCTTTGGTGGTTGGTTTTTAAAGTTGGTAATTAACATGGGGTTTTTCTTTAATGAAATATGCATTCTTAAAATTCCATTTTCGTTGTAGCTAAACCTGACACGTTTTGGAATTTTAAAATTATCTTTTGGCTTAAAACTAGCTCCTTATTTTCAATGAGACTTTTCAGTTATTAGCAAAATCTTTAAGAGTGTTTCTGAAATGGAGCTATGAAGCTGTTTAACACTTCATAGTAGAGAGGACCTAGCCAAAAAGCTTAAAGTAGCAAGACAACCTCAAAAATAGAGAATACTTACTAGTGTTCATTTTGCCTGTTTAAATATTGCCTATCTCTGGTAATATATAAAATATCTGTTATCTAAGACAGTAGTCTGCCCAGTGAATTATTCTCCATGCAATCTATTCTGCTTTTTGTTTGTATGAGCATATTCGCTCTAACTGTACTCTGAGAATATAGGATTGTTTTAAAAATCTGAGTGCTTAACATTTCTCCCCCAACCCCCACCACCCCACTTTTAAGTACTTTTCCAGGTAAGTTCGAATTCAGACTTGTCACTGGTAAAAACAGAACCTAGCATAGATAGAGGTGTAACCAACAAACCAAGAAGTGAGGCAAAAACCAAAGTGTTATATTGGAGAATCGCAAGTGTATCTCTTGGCTCATTCCCTACTTCAGTGGCCTGACCTATGAGTAGTTTCTCTATCCTGGTCCTAGTTGTATGTTTCTGATTGGATTAGTACTAGCCAGCAGGGAAGGTTTATGGCTTCTAGAGTCTTCTACCTTCACCTTACTTTACTCCCTAAAAAAGAAATGGAAGATTTAGGAGTATTTTTGTGTTGCTATTGTTGTTTGTTTTTGTTTTTTGAAAGTACTCTTTGAGGAAAGGTGGTAGACCAGGCTTTTAGTTTGGTTTTTGTGGAGAGAGGCCCTGGTTCTTCCCTGAAGCCTTCCTTTACAAAACAAAAAGTTGGATACCATTGAAATGTAGATGGCCCTAAGCCAGGGAATATTAACAAAGCCTGTACTTTTAAACTTTATCCTAATTGAGCACATTTTAGAAAAAAAGACTGTATATTTGTAGGGCAGTATTCACCATTGTTAATATTTTTTATTCCAGCTTTCTTGGATTTTTATTATTTCTCTGTTATTTGCAGTAGGTTTTTTTAAATAGCAAGTAGAAAGACCAAAACTTAAAAATTTCGTCAAAAAAGAGAGTTGAAAACCAAAAAAAATTAAAAGAAATTGCTTTGGAAATTGAGCATTAACTGTAATTAGGAGCCAGTAAAACTTCTGTCTTTCAGCCCCAAAGTTTTTGTGTGTAATTCATATCACAGGTAAACATATTGAACAGTAGTTATAATCTGACAGAGTGCCCGGTGGAAAGTTCTTTTATTATTAAATAATGTTAGGAAAGCCAAATCTCACAGTAGTTTGCTTTCCTGGTTTTGTCATCGGAGCCATTGGGTAGCTGGTGATTTCGCAGATTGCTGTACTTTTACATGGCATTTAATGAAGCATAAACCTGGTTCTTACGTCTGTTTAACAAGAGCTTTGGGAGTCTGTATTGCAGGCCAGTTCAACCCAGTACACACCCTCATGCTTGAAAGCCTGAATTGTGATGCTTATAGCAGGATGGCAACATTTGAAGTGGGAGTAATTGTGGGTTGTTTCCCCAGTTGATATTTCTTGTGCCTTTAGAAAGTATAAATTGTTTTTCCCCTCCTAACATGGCCTTCCATCTTTCTATTCGAAGAATAAATGCAAAATATGCTTGGTGCCTACCTACTACCACTTATAATTGTACTAAAATTGGTAGAGTTACCAGTACCTTCCTCCACGGCGACTTTGTCTCTGTGGAACTGGATAATGTTAGCACAGAGGCACAGCCACTGTCACAGCAGCACTTAGCTCTGCTGGAGCTATTCCTGGTTTCAGGAAGGAGACTGCCCAGCCTCTTTACCAGGGCAACTGTCTTTCCAAACCATTTTACACTTTCTTTGGTGCTCTTTTAAACAAATGTATAGTTTGCAATTATTTAGCCAAACAAGTAAGTTGAGAAGGTGGGAAGAATTTGGAGGAAAAAAGAAAGAAACAAAACATCTGTATGTAGGACTTTCAAGGGACCAGAACTTTTCCTGTGTTCACAGAGGTTTGATTTAAGAAAGTAGCAACACAATTTGTTCAAGGGCTACCCCCCCCCCCACACACACACATAATGTGTGCGTGATTTTTTTTTTCCTGGCTGGAGTGTAAGAGTGAATGGTGAATGTGTTCAGATGGAGCTTCATAGAAATGACACTGTTTGGATGGAAACAATCAGAGCATGTGTCAGAATCTCACAGGGCCAGCGCTGCAGTTGGCTGAGCTGCCCTTCCAGTGGGGTGGGAGTGGCTTCTCACGCTGCCCTCTTCCCTTTGCAGGTGAATGACCTGTGCTGGCATGTCCGTTGCCTCTCCTGCAGTGTCTGCAGAACCTCGCTAGGAAGGCACACCAGCTGTTACATTAAAGACAAAGACATTTTCTGCAAACTCGATTATTTCAGGTATACTGTGAAGCTTGTTCTTAGTAAAGTAAGACCTTCCAGAAATTATTCAGCAAACAAGAATTTTGCAATAACACTTTTGTCCAGTTTCATTTGCCGTAAGCCCTGTTTTTTCCTATATGATGGATTGCAAAATCTATTTGGAGATCTATTTTATATTAAAATAAATGTGTTTTCCTCCTTTAGGGAACTTGGTATCCAAAATTTAATAGTAAATAATGTTTCCACTGTAAAGGATGAAAATTTTAAGCACTAAAAAGCAGGGAAACTTTTTGCAATGCATGAAGTATAAAACACATGATGACTTGTGACAGAGTTCCTTGTAGAGGGGAAGAGAGAAGACAGAAAGAAACTGCTTACAGTGGAGAAAGGATTTTGTTAAATTTTTACCAACTTATCATAGAATGATTCCTACTTACACACTCATGAGATGCCAGGAGTTTGGAAACTGTGATGAATTGCATTATTAAGAAGGATTGATCATTTTTTCCGTATCATAAATACACCAAATCAAATTAGTCTGCCTAAAAATCCTGTTTCTTTTGTCTCCTCTTTGATATTTAGTATGTAAGATAATAATTAAACAAAAAATTTTCTTTTTGTGATCTCTTTATAATTGCTTAAGTATAATTTCTTCTAGGGTCATTCTTTATGGATAATTGTCTAAAAGTTGAAATTGTTCCTAAAAATTACCCTGTCTAGGGTAATTACTTGGATTTTCAAATGAAGAAAAAAATGTTCATTAGGAAATTGTGGTGTGGTGTTAATTCTACATAGTTAAGTTTGTATTACTAATTCTGTTGTGTTTACTCCATTTCAAAACATGATTTTAGAGAGTTTAGTGGTTAATTTGAATAAAATCACTAGATAATTAAAGTCACCTCATAAGAGTCCTTTATTTTATAAAATCATAGAGCTTTGTAACTATCTCAAATACGTATTTCTCATTAGGTTTACTCTGTTTCTTCAACCACAGTTAATAGTTTGCTGCTTTTTTGACATCAGACATGGTAATATTAATTTTTTATGATAAATTAAAACTTTTTAAACGATTCAAGCTTGAAAATCTAGTTCTTTAGGATTTTTAATACTTCGTATTTTATTCTGAAATTTATTTTTAGCATTCAGTGTTTTGGTATAATTAAAAATAAATTGGCAACACCTCCAAAGGTTATATGCATGGGTAGGCGGAGGCACTTTGCTAATCTGGTGCAAGCTCATTCTGTTGGCCCGTGCCTGTGACAGGAGACTAACAAAGTCTCTGGCCACTCAGACCAGGAGGAAAAAGGAGTATTCCCATCTGACCTGGCATTTTGTTAGGCTTAACCTATGTTTCACATGTAAATATATCTCTGAAAAGTTTAGATGATATTCTTCTCCTGTGGCTACCAGTGTGTTAATTTCCCATGAAAGGAAACATTTCCTTTGTTGCCTACTGGTTGAAGAATTTGAGTTCTCTGCATTCTTCGATAATGTCTATTTTTAAATGTTTTGAATATTAATTCATAGCATTTTATGATCAAAACTTGATTTTTTGTTTGTTTTTGGTGCTGGGGATCGAACCAAGGGCCTTGTGAATGCTGTACCACTGAGCTGCACTTTCCAATCTCTACTCGGTTTTAAAAAGTCTTTGCTCATATCAAATTGGCATACTTTTGCATTTTTAGGTTTTCCATCTGAAGTATGTGGGTGCACATGGGCATGCTTTATCTGAAGCCCCCAGATACATTTATAAATGCCCTGATATTTGACAATAAGAAGGATGTTGATACTTATGTTTTATTTATTTATAAAGTTTTATTTTTAAAAATAGATTTGAATTGTGATTATCGTAAATCTTAATTGCTTGGCATGTTGACTTTCAGGAAAGTAATTCCTGTTTCTTTTTCAAGACACTGAAACACTTCCATTACTCCAGTGGAGTGATGTTGTGTGTCAGCTTGATAGTAGACTGATCAGTAGCTTCCCAAGCATTAAAATCTTCCACTCCTGCCTTTCTGTGTACCGTAGAAGGTATGGAACTCGCTGCTCTCGATGCGGCAGGCACATCCACTCTACTGACTGGGTCCGGAGGGCTAAAGGAAACGTCTATCACTTGGCGTGTTTCGCCTGCTTTTCTTGCAAAAGGCAGCTTTCCACAGGAGAGGAGTTTGCGTTGGTGGAAGAGAAAGTCCTCTGCAGAGTGCATTATGACTGCATGCTTGATAATTTAAAAAGAGAAGTGGAAAATGGTAAATATGTACTTAAAATACTTTTGAGTCTTTGGGGACAGTGACTAGAGAGATAAAAATGATTTTTCCTAAGGTTGTCTGAATGCATTATTTTAGGCCAAAATATAATTGTGGTAAAATTCATCAAGCCCTCTACAGCTAGTGATGAGCACTGTTTTATTCGCTGGGAAAACCAGGGTGTGTGTATTAGCCGTGTTCTCAGGCAGCAGCCTCGGGTTAGGCTGCAGCTTCTCTGTTCTGTAAACAATTGTTTCTCTGTGTTTGCCTTCCCAAAGGTGGGTCCTCGCCCGCCACTTTGCGTTTTTGACCGAGAGCTCAAGCCTGTGCATCAAATACTATTTCTGCAGTGTGTTGATGATGTGTTTAATTAAAACTTAGTAGGTTCCAGTTTGGATGTGGTGATGCATACCTGTAATCTCAGCACTCTGGAAAGCTGAAGCAGGAAGATTATAAATTCACAAATTCAGGCCCAGCCTGGGCAGTGTAGTGACTTGTAGTGAGACTCTGTCTCAAAATAATAGAAATTTTAAAAGGATGGACTATAGCTCAGTGCTTAGATCTTGGGTTCAATACTCAGTACTGTGGGAGGAAAAAATGTAAGAAATAAAGTTTTCCCATCTAGAAGGTAGATAATGGTTTTACAAGTCTGGAAGTGCAAGCAAAGTATTGCTGTGCAAGTGGCGGACCCATTTGAGTCACCAGTGTGTATGATGTGTTTCTTAAATGCAGGTAATGGGATTAGTGTGGAAGGCGCCCTCCTCACAGAGCAAGATGTTAATCATCCAAAACCAGCAAAAAGAGCTCGGACCAGCTTTACAGCAGATCAGCTCCAGGTAGACCTGCAATGAATGTATGATTTTTGAAGCCCCTCTCCTGGAAAAATCCAAACAAAAAAATAATTTCAGTGCTGCCTAAAGGCAGTTGTTTCCTAAAAAGTTAACCTATCTTTTTTTTTTTTTTTTTTTTTTTTTTTTTTTTTGTCTTTTTCCTTTTTATCGGTACCCGGGATCGAACTCACGACTGCCTGCTTTACAAGGCAGGCGCTTATGCTGCTGAGCTAAATCCCCAGCCCCAACCTATCTTTTCTTGAAATCAACCTGATAAATACATGAAAATACACTGACTGCCCCCTTATGCTTCTCAGTATTTCCAAGCACCATGATAGGAAGGGTCCAGCCATCTAGCTTTATGTCCTTGGACCCTTTTGGTGTCAGCATCAAAGTAGAAGCCAACTGTGGACCTGTTCTGGCTTCCTGAGACCATCAGTTCAATCCAGACACTTCTATTAGTGTGTGTTTAATTGCAATAGAAGACAATTTGAACCTTGCAACAGAAAGAGCACGTGAATTTGTGAAACTCCGATTTGTTGGTGGTATTAACCAACTCCAGTGAAATAATGGACGAGATTGTCTGTTTTTTGAGTAGAAAAGAACTGAATATGCCTGCCTTAATTAATAGCCAAATAGTTCCTTTCTGGTTTTTAAAAAGGGTAGAGGGGATAACTCTGTAATTTGATGTTAAAGGTTGGTTATGCCCCATGGCAGGGGAAGAATTATTTACAACTTAGTTTTCTTAAACATCATCTTCGTAAGTTTGATTTGTACACATTGTCAAGAAAATAAGTAACGGCTCCTCACTTTACATTTAGGTCTTCATATATGATTCTTTTCGGCATTTTTTAAATTACAAAATCACATTTTCTGAAAGATTAATGTAGATGAGGTATTTGTTTTAGGTTAAAGTAACATTGAGCACCTGCTGTGTATCTCAGGGTACTTTACTGTCAGTATACTCAGACTTTAGGAGATATTTATGCAATGTTAGCAAATGCATGAGGCTAATGTTCTGGAAATCACCTGTAGCATCCTAAGACCTGCCAGCTTTTAAGATGGTTAATACAATTTAAAGTGTTTCAAGAGAGAATTCTATCTCAAGAATGATTTAGGAAAGAAACCTGAATATGATGCAAACATTTTAAGGACACTTGCCAATGGAAAGTATTCTACCATTAAAATCTAGACCCATTCAGGGAGAAAAAAATCCAAATAGATAATTATTATGTATTGCTTAGACATAAAAGTACATGGTTAGTAAGTAATACATGAAAACTAAGACAATCGAGAGAATCATCTCCATAGGAACTGTGCTCCTCTGTAAAGTTAGGTATGAGCACTTCTGACAGCTCTGGGAAAACACTCAGTGGTTCAAAGGTATCTGGGTTAAAACAGACCCTCTACTGTGTGTGTATGTTTTTTAAAATGGACCGTTCTCACGAAGGACTGGCTCTAATCTTAAGGGCTGTAATATTGATAACTTTAATTTGATTTAAAATTTGTTATTCCAGTTGTCACTGAAAATTTGAGACCAGGATGTATGCAATCACCTATGGCAAGAAAATTGCAGATGCTAATGAAATAAAAAGAATATTCGTGGAGGTCTGTTCGTGCGAAGTCCAATGCCGGGCTCATCAGCACTATCTCCTTTGAGTCTCCCAACAGTTCGTTTGGTGTAATAGCCTCTCACAGAGGTCCAGGAATTTCCTGTCAAGGCAGAGCTCTGAGGGGATGGCAGGGAAGAGCTCTGCTCTTTCTGTAGGCTTGGCCTACCAGGAGACTATGAGTGCAAATGAGCCTTAACAAAACTTGTAGCTAGGCTTGCAGTTTTAAATTGCAGATGTGCATAAAATATTTAAGCCATGCGTCATTGTCCAAATGCGATCTGAATCATGCTTTTAAAAATGTTTGTCAGAGTCATAGGTTTTTTAAAAATGAAAGCACTAAGTGATACAGTTTTAAAGCATGTTTTCATTTATTCAGGATTAGCACTGATACCAGGGAGAGCGGAAACAAACGAAATACAATCCTCAAGTAATTTTTTGAAATTTAGGAATTTTTGAGAGCTGCAGATTTAAAAAAACAAGCAAACTTGAATCATTTACTTTTGCCGATATATAAAGCAGGGATCATCCCTTCACTGTCAAATTGTTCTGCCTTTCAGAAAGCTGAGTATATTCCAGTTCTGTTGAGACTGTAGTGTGGTACCTGCTTTAAGCAGATGCAAAAATGGGATGAGTAAAGGGCTAGAGATGTAGCTCACTGGTAGAAGGTAGAATGCTGGGCCAGCCTGAGGCCCTGGCTTCCATCCCCAGTATTGAAAATAAATACAAAATCCATTCATCCTGTAATTCTTCTTTAAAATTAATAGGAAGAAAAATAATTTAACTCAAAGGATGTGCCCACAAACATACAAGAAATATTGTCTCATTTATGAGAATGATACTAAGAAGTTTCTGCTTCTGTTATGGTCTGCTTATTGTTGCAAGCACCTGGCCAGCGATGGTTAGTATTTTTTTTTTTTTTTTTTTTTTTGGTCTTTTTCGTTTTTACCGGTACCGGGGATCGAACTCACGACTGCCTGCTTGCAAGGCAGGTGCTTTTGCCGCTGAGCTAAATCCCCAGCCCCCGATGGTTAGTATTAGTATGCAGTCCACATGTAGCTTCTGCTTTAATCTATTTCAGATCAGATTGGTCAGACTCCTAACATTTCTCGTAGACCTCCTGGCCCTACAATGTTCAGTTCCATGGGGGAGCAGGGGGAACCATCAGGTATTCCCTCTCTCAAGGAGCACATTTGCTTCCATGGAGAGTAGACTGGTATTACAAACTCATTCTCCAACTATGTTAAAAACAGCAGTAGTGTTTGGACAACAGTAAAAACTAAGAAGAGTTTAAAAGCATCTTTTTTCCATACCATTAAAAAGAATTAATGAGTACTACTTTTTCAAAAGAATATCCCAATTTAAATAATCCATGCTGATCTAAAATTCATTCCTTGATGGAGAAATTCCTTTATTAAATGTAACTCGGTTCCATTATTAAACTTGTCAATCTGAAACTCATTTGTGAAAAGCATGCTGGGTTTTTTCTTTAACAGATTTTTTTTAACAGATTGTTGGTAATGATCTTACAAGCAAATCTTCAAGTATCCATACAGACTTTTTGAAAAACTAAAATACAAAAACATAATTATATTTCTCATTCCTTTTTCTCTTGGGGATATTATATGCTCAATTACATATAAACAACACTATTTTCATAGGAGACATTAATGTAACACATTTACAGTAGAAAAGGAAATAGGAAGATTATAGGTGTTCAGGCAATTTTTTTTTTTCATTTTTTAAACCAAAAGTCTATTTTCGTTATGAATGTATACACATAGCAGACTGGAAGTCAGGATTATGTAATTGTGGAAGAGTCACTTATCAGCGAGATCTTACTGAAAATGTAATTTGTCAGTCTCATAAAGCTTCCTGGAACAATCCTTAACTTTCTCTCCACACTCAGATTTTCCTCACATTGTCAGGTTTCACTGTGTTACAAACTCCAAACTGCGGGGCGGGAAGGGTTTGATTCCCGGGAGGTAAAGAATGGGCATTCCCTGTGTCAAGGAACAGCACACCCATTGCCATGGAGAGTACACTTGCCAGCGCACTCTGTAGCTCCCTGTGACAATTACAGTGGCAGAAGATAGTGCCATATAAAGAGCAGAGCAGAGAAGGAAGGTAGTTTTTTTCTGATGGGAAGGGTAGAGAAGCCAGCCCTGCTTAAGGTCTTTAAATAGGTTGGATACTCAATCCATTCATGTGGCCAAGTGCAATTGTATGGGACACCAGGCTTCACTCTCATTCTGTAAAGTACATCAGTTTCTTTTTTTCTTTTCTTTTTTTTTTTTTTTTTAGCCAGATGTGGTATTGCACACCTGTAATTTGAATATTTGGGAGGTTGAGGCAGGAGGATCGTTGCGAGTCTGAGACCAGCCTGTGCTACAAAATGAGTTCAAGGCCAACCTGAATTGCACAGGAGACCCTGTCTCAAAAAAACCAAAAAAAAGTACAGCATTTCTGTTTTCTAATACTCCCCACAGTTGGTTGACTTTCAGTGATAAAATTGAAGTATCTCACTTATTGCCATAGTGGTTCCCTCTTCTGAGGGGTGCCGAGCCGTTGGCATGTGATTTACTCGGGTGCTTCTCCCTACCTTTTTTTGTGCTCCTCCCTTTCTCTTTTATGATAGGTAATTATTAGCATGTCCGAATCTTTCTTCCAGGGAAGTAAGAACAGGCACAGTTATTTTGGCATCACCATCTCAGCCTTTGGCATGGTGGTTACAGGCTGCAGGCTGACATCCAAGTCGCCTGTGAGCTTGTTTAGTCCCCAGTGAATTCTCAGGGGATTGACAGAGCCCCCTTTTAAGATCTCAGATATTCATTCACAGAATCATCAAAATGAAATGAGGGAGTCATCACCATTAGGTGAAATCCCTGTCCTCTTTGCAGATCAGTAGTAATTATTTTGCAGGCATTCAACCTAGTAGGTAAGCCTAGTAAAGGTTGGAGATAAGTATTATACAGTTTTCATATCTTATTAAGTTTTTTAAAGCTGAGAAGTTTGACAAAATGGGAAAAATTATAAATGGGATTCATATTACACATTTCATTTGTGAGTTCTAAGAATGGGAGAAAGAAAAGGGGAGCTTATTTCTAACAGCATAGTTGAGAGTTGAATTTATATTGAAGTGGATTATTTTTCAAAGATCTCAACCAAACAGCCTGTCTATAAATACACAAAATTTGCCTACTTTTTCACTTATATATACTTCTCAATGATGGTTTTCAAATAATAATATGCAAGTGTAGTAGTACCTCGGTTCATTAATTTAATTCATTCCACAATTCTACCAAAGATGGCCACGGTTGTGTTCCTCTCTTGAGGCAGAGTTTACAAATGGAAGCTAAATTTTGCCAAATGCTTCTGTTTGTGAACCGAATTATTCACAAACAGAAGTGATCGTGAATCGAGACATTATTGTGTCACATTCACTTATATGTGTCTTTTGTTTCTTCCACATCAAAATGCAGAAGATTGAGCTGTGTCTTTTTAATGATTTACAGCCCACATTTTTTTTTTAAACAAATCACAGGTTATGCAAGCACAATTTGCTCAGGACAACAACCCAGATGCACAGACGCTCCAGAAACTGGCAGAAAGGACAGGCTTGAGCAGACGTGTGATACAGGTAATTATTTTCTAGGTCCATCCTGAAACACAGAAAGTTCTAACTCTGCATCTTTATGAGTGTGCAGTGTTCTTTTGTTAGCAAAAAAAAAAAAAATCTCAAAAATATTCGCTTCCTATTATAGATCACTTGAGAGTTTAATCAGTGCATTAAACTAATGATTTACCTGACTGGGTTAGGCTGTTGTTTGTCAAATGACCTTTTGAATCTCTTCACTCAGTGCTCACAGCAACCCTAACGTCCTCAGACTAAGATAACTGTGGTTATAAGTTTTAATCAGATTCTGTCTTCTTTTCTGCTACTTCTGTGTGGAGTCAGGAGAGGGTATTGATGGCCTTTGCTAAGTTCTGGGGAAAGGAAGTGGCATAAACAAGGCCAGCGAGGGGTGAGTTAGGGCAAACTTACTGGAACACAGAGTTTATATTTGGAATTCATGGAAAAAGAAGTTGTAGGGCTCTGTGAGTTTTCTCTCAAACAGAAGCCATGACGTGTGATTTTGGAAGAAAGAGGAAATGGTACTGAATGGGTAGAATTAAAGTTGAGAGAAGGCCAAAGAGAGGTAGGTAGCTTCGCTGGGGACTCAGAGTAGTGACTTTCTGAAGAGACTTATTGAAGCAGTAAGACTACAATTCATTCAAGTCGTAGCTCATCAAATGTACCCTGGTAGCTAAGGGTGAATGGAAGAGAGAAAAATGATTCAGACTGAAGTGGAAAAGCAGAGACAAGTCAAAGTGGCCTCAAGTACATTCAAGTCAAAAATCCTTTGTGGAGGCGATGAAGTCTCTTAGTTGTGCTAATCACGCAGCCATGGTTGAGGTTGTACATATAAAAATTGGAGGGCAGGACAGGCCCCAAGTAAAGGGACACTGTGAATAAGACCTTCAAGAAAGAGATCATGGCACTTAAGAAGAGCAGTGGCCGTTAGAGAGAGGGCAGAGTGAAAAGTGCACTTTGACTGGATTGGGGCAACCCCAGCATCAAGGAGGGGGCTGCTAGAGAAGCAGTGGAGATCCCGAAAGAGCTGGGTGGCTTCTAAGAAGAAAACCATCCCTGGCAAGCTGCTACAGAGAGACGAGGGATACGTGGAGTCATTTTAATTATTCAAGGTTTAGATATGCTTAAGGAATAACCAGTCATATAAAATGAAGTTTGTTTAGGGAGTGGGTGGATAAATTCCTTCATTATTCACCTGTCTTGCTTTTTTTGTTAAAGTTGGGTAATTGATACACTTTTGGAGGTCAGAGTGTCATAAGATTAAAAAGAATAATGCACAGGAGCAGATAAGAAAGATTGAGAGTCCTGCAGCCTCTCTGTTGACTGTGGTTCACAATGGCTTGGTTGGCTGCAGCCCAGAAGGCTGGGAGTGAGGTCCCATGGTCTCTGCCCTTCTCAGACACTCTGGATATTGTGTTTATTTTATAGTACTAACATTTAGACTAACAAGAAACTAGTCTAAAAAGAATGCTTCCATTGAGAAAAGGCAACCAAGGCATTCAAAGATCTAGAAATTGTGTTCTAATGTTAGAGACAACAGGGGTATTTATCTGGAGATAAAGTCGGGAAATGACAAGGGAAGGACAGGTTGTACCAGAGTGGGTGTCCTGACACATGCGGGAAAAGCTGCCCTGTGGAGAATGTACAGAGCTCTGGTTTTTACTGACGGGGAAATGTGAAAGATTGCAAATGTGGCCTGACCCCCAAGAAAGGTAGTGCATTTGTTATGCCTGGAAGTGAAGTCTCCCTATGGATAGTTCAGACCCTGGTCTGAAGGTTCCTGCCAACTTAAGACTTTGTTTATCCATGGCAAGGATGTCTTTGAGAAAGATAGATTCATAACTGTTATGTTTCAGACTATTTCACTTGGAAACGAAGACTGGAAGGGTCTTAGAACAGCACTTCTCAGTATTTGAAGGAGTAGGGAATACTGACAGACATTTCAGGTCATGTCCAAATATCTAGATCACCGGCACCTGCAATGCTGCTGCAAGGTAGAGTGATCTCAAGTGCTAAAACTTGAAGAATATATTTTTGGATTTTGTCTTTTTCATATACGTGAAGGTTGCATGGCAGATATTTTGATAAGTTGGCAAAGAAGGTGTATTAGCACACAAATGTGTGTACTACTTGTGTGGGTGTGTAATTTAAATATATAGTTCTTCACAATATTTTTAGAGAATTAAATTTCTGTGACCTCGAAATGTAAATCATAATCTCTTTCCCCACAAACCCCTTTCTGATGTCGGGCACAACACTTTAGAAAGGTTATAGAAGAGTTTTGCTTGCTAGGTCTCTATTGTAATATGCAAATGAGGCTGCCCAAGGGACAGGTAGAAATAGTGGGCTGACTCCTATAGAGGCTCAGCTTCCCTGACTGCCAGTCTTCTGTGTGAGACATTTGTAACAGCAGATTGTTGCTCAAGCCAAGAATAAAGATGGGTTATTTTCCTTTTGACATTCTCAACCAGATCCGGTTGTTATTCATCCACCCTTTCAGATAAGTGGATTCTGAGTTGCAGATCTCAAGGAAACAGAATCCAACTGTCTCTTTCCATCAGTGCCCTGCAAATACCTTTCCATATGTGTACATTATTTTTACTGCTGAATGTGCTGAGCATAGCATGATTTATTTTGTTTCCAGATTTGCACCATTAAAGAATGCTGCCATGAGCAGCATTGTGTATCTTTTATGCTTGGTCAGTAGTCTCCTTATTATAAATTTCTGATGTAAGAATTATATCAAAAGGTAGACTGTTTAGGGCCTGTATGCAAAAATTCTCTTTCAAAAATTTATACCAATTTATCCTGAATCTGCCAGGAGCTGATATCCTTTCCTTAACTCCTGAGAATACTGACTGTGAGCCATTCTTTATGGGCTTGCCAAGTTGGTAGTCAGAAAAGGAAATCTCATTGTCCCTACCTATTTTATTATCAATGAACTTGAACTTGTTTGCTTATTTTGTAACTTTAAATTCCACTTTTCTGGTGAGTTATTTTCTTTTCATCTTATTGAGTTTTATTAATTCTGTCACATAGCACTGTCATGGTTCATCAGGTTCCTTTTCATTTATTTTTCCATATAGAACTTTTATATTGTATGTATTCCAACCTCTTTATCTTTTGATAGTTTTGGTTTTTGCTATGTTTTTCTGTCTAAAAAGTGTATCAGTATTGGCTTTGGTTTCCTTAAACATTTATGGTTTCGATTATTTACACCTAAACTTTAATGTATTTGGATTGTTTCATTTGAGGTAGAGGTTTATCTGTGTTTTCTCTGAAATGCTTACCTAGTTTTCCCTAAATCAGTGAGGCATGCTTTCCTAATGTAAAATTTCTGGTTTTTTTTTTTTTTTCCACACACTAAATTCTCCTATTTGGGTTTTTGCCTGGACTTCCTAAAGGATTCATTTTATGCACTAGAGGTGTGTGTGTGCTTGCATGGATATATGCATGGGTGTTAATGGTGCACAAGCCCAGAGAACACTGTGCTATATCTCCAGCCCTTTTTGAGGCAAGGTCTCTGTAAGTTGCCACTGCAGTCCTTCTGACTCAGCCTCCTAAGTAGCTGGTGTGTCCCTCCATGCCCATATAGTTTTTTCTTTTTAATTTTGCAGTGTATTTTCAGGGTCTGCTTTCAGTTTATGGAGTTTATGATTTAGAGTTTAAAATTTTAAAATGAAAAATTTTAAATGTGTTTCTCAGAGAAAGCTTTAACTCATGGTAGAGATTTTCCAAGCAGAAGGAAAAAACCTGTAAGGTGACTCTTCTGTGAATTCTGAGAGACTGGCTTTCTTCAAGTTGCTTCTGATGTCTGGAATCCTTAGCTGTACTTTGCTCTTCTAGTTATGTGACCCTGTATGTTTCCAAACCTCTCTCTACCAGATCACCTGTTGATAATCTTTCCTAGAAGGTGTTTGAATTGAAGGTATTAGGGTGGTTATTCTGTTATTTATGTTACACAGCATTTGTTTTCTTTTTTTTTTTTTTTTTTGGTCTTTTTCCTTTTTATCGGTACCGGGAATCGAACTCACGACCACCTGCTTGCAAGGCAGGTGCTTATGCCACTGAGCTAAATCCCCAGCCCCCAGCATTTGTTTTCAAAGTCTGAGATTTTGTTTCAATGAAATGGTAATAATTAGACTTTTTGTTGTGTGTTTTTACAAATGAGTAGATTCCATCCCACGGTGTATGATTGACCACAGACAAAGATATTTTGAAGGAACTCTGGATCACCATAGCAAACGCAGCTTAGCCTCTGAGTAGTCCACTGGGATGTGTGGCTCCCAGGAAAGCGGGTGGTGGTTCTGGCCCCTCACCAGCTAGGGAATGTCTGAGGATGGCTTCCCAGCAGGGGAGCCTGTGACAGCAATGGCACCTATGATTACAGAGCCAGTGGATGGACTGGAGGCTTCGTCTCTGCCCTGGAATCTCAGAATCTCACATTCCAAGGATGAGGAGGGAGCCTATGGCTTCTCACTCTTTTTCTTTGATGTGTGCCTACATCTTATTCTGGAAGCATTCCTCAGAGCTGCCCTTTCCACCATCTGCCTGGGGCTGCCTGAGCCATTCAATAGTGACTTTTAGTTCTTGAGTTTTGATTCCTTCAGTTCACACCCTGCCGGCCCTCTATTTTTGACTACCTGTGTCAAGGTGTGTGCTTTAAATCAGGCCAACTTTTTGTTATAAATTCTTGAAGATTCTTTCTGTTTTGCACTCGCTGGCCCTAATTTTCTAGTGCCATTGAATTCCTGCTCTGAATAACAATGATGGCCCTGGCCTTCTCCTGTGATCCTAGAAAGTTTCTAATTCCCTTAAAGTTTTTTTTTTTTTTTTTTTTTTTTTTTACCCCTTCTCTTATCTTTCTTCTCATGATACAATTGCTTGGACTGATGGCAGGTAAGTGACCTCGAGTTTTAATCAAGTAACACAATGTGGTGAAGTTTGTCCCCTGGCATAGAAGTTAAACACAGGGGACGCTTGGGCAGTCCAGCCCCATGTACCCTGAGTTGGGTGCAAAACTCGTTGGTCCTGAACTCCTGTCATTTCTGCAAGAGAGTGGACATTGGGGTGGTCAATGGGGGTCTTTCACCACTTGGATGTGTTTGTATTTGATTTTACTTAAATGGTACTAGTTTTTCTTATTATAGCTCTTGACATTGGCATGCTTCTTAGGGAATGGTCTGTGTATTTACTAAAAGAGACTGAACGCAGCAGGTTAAGATGTGAATGGAATGACTGAATCAAGAGGCTTGTAGAAAGCTGCATGTTCCCAGTAGGGATTTTAATCATTTGAACAAGCATTTGAAATAAGTTCAGCAGGGTCTAAGAATATATTCAGGTGAGTGTGTGTGTGTTTAAAGTCCTGATTAAAAAGCTTTTTTTCTGCTTTCTTTTTTTTCCCCCTGAAACCAGTAGTAAAACCAAGGGTCCTTATCTGGAATCCTTGAGCTCCTGCCTCCCCTCTCTCCTCCCTCCTCCCTCTTCCCTCCTCCCTCCTCCCTCCTCTCCACCTCCTCCACCCCCTCCCAGTCTCCTCCCCTTCTCCCCTCTTTTTCCTCCTCCAGGATTCTTCTCTGCTCTGCTCCTGCACTCTTTTCGTCCTCTTCTACCACCACCTTCTCCACCTCATCTCTGCCTCCTCCTGCTTCCTCATCCTCTTCTTCATGTCCTTCCTCTTCCTCCTCTGCTTCCTCTTCCATGTGCACTCCCTGGCCACCACTAGTTTAATATGAGTCACCTTTTAAGTAAGTTACCAGAGAGCTATTGTCTCTGAAGTGAAAGCATGACTCTGGGCCAAACCATTCCTCTCCTGTCTCCCGAACTTCTAGAAAAGTTTATTCTGTGCTCCAGGGGTAGGAGCGCTGGAAGCTGTGTTCTTTACCACTCAGCTGAGTGGGTGACGCCCTCCTGGGCTGATGAGTGGCTGAGACACCTTGCTGTTTTCCCCTACAGGTGTGGTTTCAGAACTGTAGAGCCCGCCACAAGAAGCACGTCAGTCCCAATCACTCGTCCTCTGCCCCGGTCACAGCAGTCCCACCCTCCAGGCTGTCTCCACCCATGCTGGAAGAGATGGCCTACTCTGCCTACGTGCCCCAGGACGGGATGCTGACCGCACTGCATAGTTACATGGATGGTAGGTATCCCGACATATAAGCAGGACTCCGCACTCAGTAACGGGCAACTTGTAACAGGAGCCCATTGGTGGGATTGACATATTACCTCATTAGTAGCTGAAGAACCTTGTAGACTATACACACCTGTAAGAAATGACAAACACCTCCTTCTCCATGTCATTTCATTTTAAGGGGCAAGTTTACCACCCACTTTGCAGCTCAAATACAAATATTGATAATGAGCACTCTACTGTTTGACTTCCAAGAAAACATTTTTTCTCACCTGATAAGTATTTAAATAATTTACTTTCCTGTGGTCAGAGGAAGTATTCACACACAGATCTTTAGATTGAGCCTTACTACATTTTGTTACAGACATTTATTGAAGCAGATGGTACACACAGGAAAGGACCCATATGACTTACACAGCTTGATGAGTTAATACAGTGAACATATTCTTATAAATCCAGCCCAGGTGGTGTAGGATCTGATTAGCGCCCAGAAGCCTCTTTCGTGTCTCCTGCCAATCCTTCTTTTTCTTGCAAAGTAATGTAGTCCTCATTTCCAAAACCTTGCCTTAGTTTTACCTTTTTTTTTTTTTTTGAGCTTTATATAAATCAAGCCGCACAGAATGTATTCATGTGTCTTCTCCAATTACTTTGTTTGTGAAAGCCATTGGCATTGTTGCAAGAGTCGGTGATTTATCTTACCCTTGTGTAGGTTCCACTGTGGGAATCTTACCACAGTTTATCCATTTGTGAGCGGTAGACATGTGCGTCTCTCCCAGTTTGGGGATTTATGAGCACGCTGCTGCAGATTTTACTGCGGAACCTGCCTTTAGGTCCACATTAGTTCATGCTTCTGTTGGATAGGGATCTGAGAGTGGACATTGGTAGAGTCTGGACTGCACACATGCTCAGCTTCAGCAAGTTCCACCGGAAGTTTTCTGCAGTTGTGAAACCAGCTGGCCCTTTGAGCAGTAGCACACGGTGGTTCAAGGTGCTCTAACTCTTGGCCTGGTTATCACTTTGTGTTCTTTAAATACCTAATTTTAAACGATCCAATAATGCTGTAGAGCTGTTTCATTAAATTACTTTTCCCTCATGACTGATGAGATGCTGCTTTTTCCCCTCCTTGGATATTTGTATGTCTTCCCATATGTGTCTCTTGGGTTTTCTTTTTAAAAAAATTGATTTCATGATGTAATCTGCGTAGAAAGCTTTTTGATAATTGTGTGTTGAATATAATGATATTTTCAATGGCCTGCTTTTTTTCGGCTATAGAATGCTTTGTTAGTGAATATGCCTAATTTTAAGATAGCTTATTTCCTCAGGTTTTTTTCTTTCATGGACAGTGTTTTATTGGTGACCTCTTTAAGAAATTGTTCCCTCTCAAAGACAATGAAGCTATTCTTCCTGTCCTAGCTTGTTAGAAACTTTGCTTTACTTTTGACATTGAGCTTTATAGTCCATCTAAAAATAAATTTAAGTGTAATGTGAGATAGGAAATAAAGCTTTTTTTGTAAAAAACAAAAATGCAGATTTCCTGACTCTTCTCTAGAGCCACATTTGTCATAAATCAAGTGTCCATAAATTTTACATGTCCACTGTATTTGGTTTTATTGGTCTATTTATCTTTGTACTAATATCTATCCGTGTTATACCAAGGCTATAGTTCTTTCTTTCTTTTTTCTTTTTTTTTTTTTTTTATCGGTACCGGGGAAGGCTATAGTTCTTGATGTCAAGTAGTGTAAGTGTTTCTGTTTTGTTGTCATTCATATTTGTGTAGCCTGTTCTTGGCTCTATTTTCATAAAAATGTTAATCAGCTCATTTTCCATACCAAAAAGGGAAAATAAAATTTTGATGAAATAATTCTTCTATCTTAGAACTTTAATCTCTATTTATTTGCTTTTTAAAGTAATTTTGTATTTCAGAATTTTTAAATGATCTTACACATTTTCTGATGTGTATTTCTGAGTATTTCTTTGATGGGTTGTAGGTGATACTTGAATATATAAAGCCAGGTTGGCAGTTGTTTTCTTTTAGCACTTTGAAGGTATGTTACCTTGCTTTCTGACTTGCCTTGGTCCTCTTGTTTCACGTATCAATAGCTAATTCATCTGGCATCACTTTTTGTTGAAATAAACTGTGTTTTGTTCCTTTTGAAAGTAAATATATTTTTATATTCCTTCAGCTTATTTCCAAAATTTCATTATTATGTTCCTGGGAATACTTCTGGGATATATACTTTGATACCTTTCATTGTAAGAAGTTCTTAACTTTTTTCTCTTTAAAAACCCTATGAAAGAATTTCATAGTTTTCAACATTTTGACCTTATGTGCTTTAGATATTTTCTTTCATTCTAACTCAGCGCATTAATCGGCCCATTTCTAATAATGTATACAACACATCCAGTGATGTCTTAGTATGTTATGTTTTTTAGTTTGAGAATTTCCATTTCTGTGTTAGTCTCTACATTGTCACTTTATTCCTTAAATCATGATATTAATTACACTAAAATCCATGTCCAATAACTCTAATACCTGGATCTCCTCTGAGTCTTCTCTGTTGCTTTATTCTTCCCTTTTTTCAGACAGGTCATGTCTTGTTTGCCTTGTTCTTTTTTAATTGCGTTTCTGATGCTAGGTATGAAAAACTAAAAATAATCTCAGTCATCTTCCATCCAAAGGGATCGTGTGCTTTCACTGCAGACACACACAGGTGGGGAGGGGCTGGTCCATGTCTGTGTCACTAGTCCTCAGATGGGATCAACCAGAAAACCTTGGTTTCGTTTTTGTTTTCAAGACGGCTTTGCTCCTTTTGGGTGCTTTCATCTTTTGTCCTTACCCCCTAGTCAATGTCTAACTTCTGAATGCTCTGCTGAATTTCTCAGCCCGTTAAATGTTCTTTAGATTTTCAAATTCTCACTGTCCCTGTAGGAGAAGAGTAGTTTTTTTTCCCTCCTCTCAGCAACTTGATTTCACAATCTTTCTCTACTTATGTATTTTTTAGATGCCTTCCAACAGATTTTTAAAAATGTCATCCAACTTTTCTAATTGCTTTCAGAGGGAGGGAGGTTTGGCGCAGCACAGCTGACCTCGGAACTTCATTTTAAGTTTTGGTTAAATAAAAACATTTTATATCCTTGTTGCCATTTACTTACACTAGTGTCATAATTGTGCATGTTCACGTGAAAGAGTAGTGCTCCCTGAGTGAAACATGTTTTGGTGTATGTTTCAGGAGGAGACAGTTAAGCATTAATAAGGGGACCCTGAGGTCATTCTTTTCAGACACCTGCGTGTGAAAACTAGCGGCATCTTTACAGACTAAGCTTATGTTTTCCTAGCTGTAGGGTAAAGTGCCCGAGAATGGGGTATGGGTGAAGTACATTACAGTGGCAAAAGCTTGTGACCCCAGAAAAGATTTGGGGGGTCAAATCATTCCTAGATTCTTGTTTACTACTCTACCCATGATGCTGGGTGAGTGGGTGCACCTTGCTGAGAAGGTGGACCATGGGTAGCTTGCAACCCTCAGCTGGAATGAGTGATGAACACACACTGCTTTGAATTATGTTTTTAAATTATGTTTTATTCACCTTCAAAACTGATCCACAAATTTCTTTCTATTTTGTAGCTCATTCACCAACAACTCTTGGACTCCAGCCCTTGTTACCCCATTCAATGACACAACTGCCAATAAGTCATACCTAATTCCTTCTTTCAGGGATAGAAATGATTAAGCTTCTAGACTTGTCATTTATTATGTATAAAATACCATTGAAAAGATAGTAATGTTAATTTTTTTATTTAACACCCAAAGCATTTCCAGCATCACTTTGCTGCCCAGGTATGTATCTATAGTTGGCCTGCAAGACACTTTTATTGATTCTTCCCTTTTTTTTTTTTTTTTTTTTGGTAAAACTTATGTTTACAAGAAGAAAACAAATCAAAACATTTTTTTTTTTTGTATTGTCTGGAAATAGTTCACTCTAGTGTATATCTGTTAATTTATTTGTCATCAAAAGAGCACTTTGCCTAAAAGAAAGGACTGACAAGTGTGCAAAATGTTTACAATCTTTTGTGAAATTGTAGTTTATCATTAGTTTGTATCTGTAAGTTATTGTTATAAATATTACATGTATTTTTTGTTATATGCAACTTTATACTTTGAAGCTTGTATCTGTGAATTTACAACTGAAATTTATTTTGCAATGTTTTCTGAATGAACTGAATAAAGCTTTTGTTGTAGCATGCCATGCAAACACATTGTCGTGTTTGTGGTTGATGAATTACAGCTGTAAATAACACTATCGTTTAACAAGCCCACCATTCTAAGTTTATTAAACATTTTCCATTCTTGTGAAACTTTCAAATAGTTTGTCCTTTTTGTGTGTTTGCAGCAGTCAATTGCCTTTAATCTCTTTCAAATCTGACCGCTCTTAAAAAAAAAGTTACTTTATTTTGAGCTTTATTGTAAATAGGTTCTAATAGGAAACTTATTTGTAGATGATTGGACATGCTCAACAAAAGAACACATGAAAACTTCTAATTCAGGTAATCTCTTTTAAACTAGCTAATAAAATAAATGTGAAAAAAGGGGCAGAATATTTTCAAAATGACCTGTGGGGTAGCCTAATCTAAAAACAAATTATTGGTCATGTAGATAGGGTATGTTTCTTCAGGGATGCAGAAGTAATACTAGCAGTATGTAGAGTTTAAAAGTGATATTCCCAGTGAATACTCTTTGGGGATTGTCACTCTTAAGAGGTAAAATCTAAATTTCAGGGCTTTGTCTTATATGGTAGTGGACACTTTTCTCTGAACTACACACACATGTAGTACCGTCCTAATTTTTGAATTTAAAAGCTTACTGGTTACTCACTTCTTTCATATACAGGTCTGGGGGAAAAGGTAATAAGAAAAAACTTTTGAGACTCTTAAATTTGAGTCTTTGTTTAACTTAGCAGATTCACATCTGGCTGAGGGCTGGAAGTAATAGTGAAGTATTTGTAATTCCATCCTAGTAACCATAAATGCAACCAGAAAGCAATCACATGGACATAAGTTACTAACTAACTGCCTCAAACCAGAAGCAATAAAGGAGAAAGGAGGGAAGGATTTTTTTCCCTGTCTTCCTTTAAACCTGCTACTCTAGTTAGAATCCTCTGGACCAGAAACAAAAAAACGTAGCCAAAAGTCACTCTTATGTGATGCTTCGAGACTGATGCTAATCTTCCTGGGTTTTTGTCTACCTGTCCCAGGCATGAAGTGTTGAAAGTCGGCTTTGCCTTTACCAGATGTGTAGGAAAGTGCCTGTATTCCTGCCAAGCGCTGCACTGTTAGACGCTTATGGGGTCTCCCAGCTGGATGTAATTGGCATCCTTTAGCTTGGGAGGTGTCTGATTGTGAGTATTCTTTTTCTTGCACTCACCACATTCTGAATTTGTAGAGTTTTTGCAAACCACACTTCCATGCTTTGAGTTCCAAAGATGAATCCGGAAGTTGAAGTATAATTTCCACAACACAGCTTCAAAGCTGTGAAAAGTGGTGAGCTTTATGGATCCTGAATATAAAATCGTTAATGACAAGAGACAGATAGGAAAACACTGAACACGTGATACGTGATATACACACGTGGCCAGGCTCTCACTTCTGTTGGTGGAAGTCAGAGAGCCTAATTTGAAAAGTTAAAATTAGGGAAGAATGGAAGGACAGTATTTCCATGTTAGTTAAATTTCATGCAAGCACAGCACTTGACTTGCTTGACAGGGAAAGTAACCAAACAGTTTTTGTGAAGATTAGAGGAAGAAACCTTTTGACTTTAATCTAAAAAGACCTAGGTAAGGAGTAGTTGTTACATAGTTCAAATTCATGGTTTGGGGGATGGAAGGATTACAATTTTGCAAGGCAAATCAAGATTCCTACTCATATGGTGAAATTGAAGTTAATATTCTTAAGCAATTCTTGTTAGTAGGACAAGGTAGCCTTCACGGCAGTAATTTCACATTTTACAAACGTCATTCTTAGAATTCCATCCTACTTATTCTGAATTATAGGAACATCTGTTTTGAGTATCCCATAATAAACATTGTTAGAATCATAGTGCATACTAAAAAATTATTGCAGGCATTTGAAAGCTGAGAGCTGTAGTATTTCTTACTTTGGCACATTATGTATATAATTACTGTAGTAGAATTATGAGATTATGCGGGATTTTGAAATGTTTGTTATGGCATGAAACACTTAGTACTCCATACAGAAATGCTTCTATTTTATTATTACAGAAGCCGTTTAGGTCACACTACTAAAGGTGTATTACCCCAGGGGAAATTTTCAGCAGTACCCACCACAGAAGGCAAAGGAATTGAACTTAACTCTATTTATTGACTCATTTATTTATTTTGGCTCATTTGAAACACAATTAACTTTTAAGAGAAAGAAATGAATCTGAATCCTAAACAAGTTTAGACACACTGGATAACATCCAATAATTATTTACTTATATTCAGGTAGATAGTAAACATTGTTTTATAGACCGATTTTCCCTTTTGATTTCCAAGTTAAATGGTCATGTATAGTGTTTTCATTGCTCTTTAGTGCTGTGGTCTCAATGTACTGTATTCCCCCAAAATTCATATGTTAAATTCTCTGCAATATAGTGGTCGTAAGAGGTAGAATTTGGGGGAGGTGACTAGTTAATGAAATTAAGAAGCATAATACCTGGAATCTCATAAGAAAGAACAAGGTCAGGATATGACCCTAGCAACTCAGTATCTTAACTTCTTTAATTTTATACAGATTTTTTAAAAAGTTGCATTTATTACTTCATATAAAATTTTAATTTGCATTTTAGAGTACAACTTTCTTGCAATGTGGATAACATTAACCAATCATTTTTGTGACCTTTTCTCATTACATAGTCTGTATATGTGTCTAATGTGAATATTCCTCATGATTTACTCAGGTAAGACTTCCATTGATAGCAAATATTTTAATACTTGACATTTTTACACCACAGTGGTCACATTTCTCACATACCCTTGCACCTATCCAGACCCTTTTCAACAGATGAGGGAACTGAAAATTCAAGAGCTTTGCTTACCTTAATGTTAGCCTTTTTGTTTTATTATGCAAAAGTTCTCCAGAGCATCAGATTATTTTTATGGATATATAAAGTTCTCAGCAGAATAAATTCATAAATGGCTCCTAATTATTTGAGTTGCATAAGAATTAGACCTCCTTAGGCTCAAAGGATGTGAAAACCACCCCATGTCTAAATTGTGTCACCAAATACAGTATTGCCAACTATCTACCAAGGATCTGAACTTGGTGGAGGGCTGGAATGGAGTTTAGAGCTGAACTCTGTGTGTGTGTGTGTGTGTGTGTGTGTCTGTGTGTGTAGAAAGCTATTAAGCAGTGAAGAGGAGTAGTGAGTCTTGGGAAGGTAGAAAGCATGTCTTTTGCTTTCTGTGGCATTCTACAGTTCTCACAAAGTTGGACACCTAGACATCCCTGATGACAGGGCCAGCTGGGAGACAGTGAGTGCGTTTTCTGCACTCTCCATTACATAAGACAGTGAGTTCATACTCCAGGCCTCCTCCAGTCCACCCCCCTTGTCCTGAACAGCTGGGCCAGCTGGAAGAGTGTGAAACCAACAGGAACTTCACCACTCAGGACGATAGCCGGGGGCAGAAACACATTCATACCTTTGGAGGGGGAAGTAATGAGGCCAGTAACATGGATGCATCTAACGCAGCAGTGAGGAGACAGCAGTTGAGCCCTGGGAGAACTCCACCAACGGAAGGCCAGTCCCAGTCCCCACATTCAGAGCCAAGAATGGTTCCACACCCAGCACATCTCTGGGATGCAGCGCAGACATCATCACAGCACTGTAAACACTAGAAGGTAGGTTCTTTGGATAGCTATAAAGGACCAACTACCTCAGGAAGACACCCTGGAGGAATGGACATCTTTCCATGTTTAGTGGGGCCTCAATGCTAGTGTTAGAGCTATCTATCATTGGAGGTTGGTGGGCATCAACATAGAAGGCAAAAGACAAGAAAAGGAGAAGGTGGAGAGTGGCAAGATGCGGCCCCAGACCCCCAGCCCATGCAGGACAGGCCTGGAATCAGTGAGATGGAAAAAGTTGGAAAGCAAACACTGGAATCTTCTGAAATAATAACAGAAGTGAAAAAACAAGTGGAAAAGGCTACAGAGAAAATGATTTCTCATGTACAAAAAGAAATGATGCTTAAAATCAAAGATATTAGAGAAGACACAAATAGTAGGTGATCTTTGAAAAAGATGGAAAAAAAATACAAAACAACCTAGGAGAGAAATACAACCTATGAAACATCCAAACAGAGATCCAGGTGCTCAAAACCTCCATTAAAAGTATATGAAACAGATTGAACAAAGGAAAAGATAGAATTTCAGATCTTGAAGACAGAATTGCAGCTAGTGATCATGAAAAGAAAAATGCCTTAAAAAATAGCAAGAGATCATTAGAAATCAATCCAAAGCTATAAGGAGAAGCAAAGAATGATACAAGTTTGACTGGGGTCAATGAGAAAACTGGAGGCAGCACAAATACCTTAACAACCAAATATATATGCACCTACTATGGGAGCCCCAACTATATAAGACAGTTGGTAGATATAGAAAATCAAATAAGCAACACACAGTTATAATGAGAGACCTTAATCTCCCATTGTCACACAGAGACAGATCAATTAAACAGAAAATCAGCAAAGAAATATCAGAGCTGGACCAAAGCTATGAGTAAATGGACTTAATAGGGAGAAACTACACACCAAGGCTATGTGCCAGTGGCCCAGAGAGATCCAGTGAGCCCAGAGAAGAAGTCATTCCCCAAGGCCCAGCTGCCATCAGGGGAGCACCGGTAAACTACTGCCCCGTGCTTCTCCACCTCCAGGAACTCCGGATGGGAGGAACCCAGGTGCCTGGTCCAGTCCACTACAATGAGGGACCAGCAGCCAATACAGGAAGCATCTGGGACACAGCAATGGGCCGATTCAGAGGAACACAGGAAAACATCAAGACAAAGGAACCAAATACAATCTCAGACATGCAGCCCACACAGAAAAGTTTAGGAGACACAGACATAATAGAAATTAGAGATCACACACCTGAAATTTCTCAAAAGATAACAACTGAAGATAAGAAACAATTTAGTTCTTGTGTTGTTTGGTTAATTTTACATGCCTAGGTCTGATGGTATGACAAGTGTTTGATGGTATGAAGATAACAAGAGGTACTACGGTAGCCATGGTTAACTTCCTATTATCTTGTTTTGAAGTCTTGTATTGCTTTCATTGTTTTGTTTGGTTTTATTCTGTTTTTTT